ATCTGCACAGGCATCACCGACCAGCCTTGTGGTAGTGTATGAGCAGTTGCCCCAATGCTCCGTTGATACACGGTTCTGTGTTGTAATGAGTAATCAGCTCGTCACCACTGGATGTTTCCGTCTCCATATAACAGGCTTGGTCGGCAGTGCCGTATTTTCGGTCATCTTCTCAATTGTGGCCACAAGGCTGACATCACGGGCTCTGGGCTGCTCCTGTGGTCCTGGGGTGTCGCTCGCCGCTCGTGTCCGTTGCTCATGTTGGATGTGCGTCACACGACGTGGGCTATCACAATAACTTTTATACAAGGGTCTTGATTGCTCCTCTAGGAGCAAACCTTGCACCCGAGACGGTACATACTTCATCGGTCTAAATGGAATTTGTAAGACACCCCTGTTTTTGTTCATCCCTCGCAAGCCTATACGGTCCGGACAATCACTGCCCCGGCGGACGAACGTACTACTTAACCGCTAGGGTATCTTGGTAGCAGTACATGCATCCAGCAGAGTGTCACATTTACGTTATGCGAAAGAAATATTAATTGGTCCACGACTGGACCGCCAGCACGGATATCTAACCTATCCACACCAGTCATAATATCATAACCTGTACTTCCTCCATCCACTTGCCATTTTACCCTATCACTTCCGCTTCAGCCGAGGATGAGCCTACCTGCTCGTGTTCCTTCTCTGCTGCTAGATTGGGCGGAAATGTAGCCAGCGTCGTGACGTGGGGCCTTCCTCTCGTGGAAGTCACTGACAGCAGACTGGCCCTGTTTCAGTCTGGTCTTTCCTGTTCCACTTCTCTATTTCTCATCGCTTCGGTAACTTTCTTCTGGTGAGTGGTATTCTCCGAGCTTCCCACGTCATGCCCTCTGGTCCGACCAATTTTTCATACCCACAAAATTGTATGTAAGCGTAGCCGCAGGCCACACACGCACTGTAGGGTACCCCAGCAACGCCTTTCTTGAACAACTCGAGGGAGATAAGAGGAATTCTTACGTGTGTAAAGCGGGAATGCAACAGAAGCCACCCATACTAATATCCATCCTTATGGTCCTTTATTTTCTATCTTATTACTGAGGGAATACACTATAACTCCCTGATCGCAACATTCCCTGTTCCTCGTTTTGGCGTATCTCACCTGCTGGGTCTTCCTTTCTGCGTGCTGCGTGACGCGACCACTCCCTATGGACAATGCTTTTCGCCGCTGTGCCACGGTAGAACCGCTCTGACACAGAGCTATGTGTGCGACACTGCGGCGGCATTGTGGTGCCTTGCCTTGTATGCATGCCTTCTTTCCACTACAACAGCTCTTTCTAATTATTTTTCATCCAAGTCGCCCTCGATGTGCGGCTCCTGGAGCGGCAGGCTTCGCTTGTGGGGTTCAACTAATAGTCAGTCGCATCTTGTTTCTTTTGTCTGCCCGTGTAGACCTGATCTGACCTTGCTCCATTTACCCACCCAGTGGGTACACCTTCGTCCACATGCCTCATCCTCTATTCTCCATACATTGAATTCCCAACGCCATTCCTTGTGGCTTTCCGGGTTCCAGCCGACACCTTATCCCACCTCCACCACCTTCACCTCCAGACCACTGGCGACGGTCCCGGCTTCCGCACCGGGGACTTTGGTCCCACGTGGGACGACACTGCCTGCACGCCTCCATGCGCAGTCTTCCGCTTTTTCACTTGCCGGCGACCGTCCCCCTCAGTGCTTGCCGCCTGCTTCCCGCTTTGACCTGCGGTTTGCCCGCTTTCACCACCCTCTGTCCTGATGACTGACGGCACCTCAGTTCATGTGTGTGTGTGTGTGTGTGTGTGTGTGTGTGTGTGTGTGTGTGTGTGTGTGGGGGGGGGGGGGGGTGGGGTGTGGTGTGTGGCAGCTGCTCTTCACGTAGTTTTCCACCACTCTCCTCTTTGCCCTGGAGGGTTGCCCTCCCACAGGCTTGTAACTGTGGCCTCCAGTCCTGGGGGTGGGGGTTAGCTGTTCTCCTGCCCTGCACCCCAGCCCCCTCCCACTATGCAATCTACAGTCTCTCTAACTATACCAAGCAAGCTATTATCCTCAAAGAA